AGGGGCGCGGGGTAAGGTGAGGTGGTCCCAGGTGAGGATGGTCCCAGGTGAGGATGGTCCCAGGTGAGGTCCCGCTGGGGTTGGGACACATCTCGGCGGGTTTGGGGGGCTCAGCCGAGCGGTGCCGGGCTGGGCTGGGAAGGGGCGCGGGGTAAGGTGAGGGTGGTCCCAGGTGAGGGTGGTCCCAGGTGAGGATGGTCCCAGGTGAGGATGGTCCCAGGTGAGGTCCCGCTGGGGTTGGGACACATCTCGGCGGGTTTGGGGGGCTCAGCCGAGCGGGGCTGGGGATGGATGGGCAGGGAGGGCGATGGGCAGGGGAGTCGTGGCAGGGCCCCCAGCCCCGCGGGACCCACCGGGCTGCCGGAGCCGCTGGTGGTGCTGGTGCTGGTACCGAGCTGAGCGCTGGGATGACTCAGCCCCACTCAGGGAAGTGGCGTGTGCGAGTGTGAGTTGTGTTTGCGTGTGCGATTGACTCTTTCCTTACCGGAACGGACGTGTTTTTTGGGGTTCTTAACTCTGAGCATCCCTCAAATGACTGGGCAGGACTTTCCAAAGCTAAATCTTCCCCTCCCCATCCCATCCCAGCCCGGGCTGGGTGATGCTGCCAATGTCACCTAGAGTTTGGGGACGTGGTGACTAGGACAACTCGTGGGGTCGTGGGTTTGCTCCCCCAGGATTGTATGGGCACTGGGTACCACTTCCCAGGAATTCTGTCCGTCCTCCCTGGATTGGGTAGTTCAGTCCCGTGGGAACGAAGCCACTCATAAGTAGAGGACAGTTGGGGCTGCTGGAGAGCACCTATGGATGCTCAGCCCCATAGCAGCCCCCCGAGAATCCCTCCTCCCCCTTCGGCTTGTGAAAGAGTCCTGAAAAAGGAGATAAAAAAAATATAAAATCCCCCAGTGACTCATTTTGGGCCAAACCCCAGAGAAAGCAGAAGCAGGGGGAGGTTGGGGGGGTATCTGGCTCCTGCCCCCCCCGGGACTAGGAAGGGGTGAAGGATCCGAAGGTGACATTAACCTTCTCATTCCAGGAATGTTCCCACCCTCTCTGCAGTAATAACGGGATTTAACGAACATGGGCAAAAAAAAAACCCGACAAAAACCCCACTTGGTGTTTATTCCTAGCTCTGGTTTTTTAGGGGGCTGGAGCTGTGGGGAGTGGAGGGTCCCTGCCTCAGTTTCCCCTCACCCATGGTGCCTGCTGCGTGGTCCAGCCTGATGGGATTTTAGGTTGGAATCCTGTGGAAGAGATGCTGGAGGAAAAGGGGAATTGTTGGGGTGGGAAGAAGTCACAGGGTGAAAGTGGCTATCAGTGCACTGAAAGGTGTTGGGGCTCAGCTGGGTGGGAAGCCCAGAGTTGGCTGTTGGCTGGAAAAGAGGAGGAAATGGAAGAGGAGGAGGAAAAGGAGAAGGAAGAAAAGATAAAGGAGATGGAGGAAGAGGAAATGGGAAAGGAGAAGGAAGAAAAGGAGAAGGCAGAAAAAGAGGAGGGGAAGGAGACGGAGGGAAATGGAAAAGGAGGAGGAGGAGGAAAAGAAGAAAATGGAGGAGAAAAAGGTAAAGGAAGTAAAGGAGGACAAAAGGAGAAAAAGGGAGAAGGAAAACGTAAAGGAAGTAAAGGAGGAAAAGGAGGAAAAAGTAAAGGAAAGTAAAGGAGGATGAAAAGGAGATAAAGGAGAAGGAAAACGTAAAGGAAGTAAAGGAGGAAAAGGAGGAAAAAGTAAAGGAAGTAAAGGAGGAGGAAAAGGAGGAAAAAGGATAAGGAGGAAAGGGCAACAAGAAAGAAGGAGATGAGGAAAATGAAATGTAAAAGGCAAGTAGGAAAAGGAATAGGAGAATGAGGAGATGGAGGAAAAGCCACAGAGCTTAGTGCTGCTGATCCCAGCCAGGGACGTGCATGGATGCATAAATCCATAGGGGTGTGCACCTGGACAACCACCTGTGATTCAAAGGGTCACAAGGACACCTAAAAACTACCCCTCTAGGGGTGCAGGCAACACCCTTGGGTGAGCACAACCCTTTATCCCATCCTGAGAATTCCCTGGGATGGGACGTGACGCGCGTGGAGCGAAGCATCTTCACCTTGGTACCCTCTCCTGGCGGCACATCCTGCGTGGGCTGGGGCAGTGCTCAGCCCCTTCCTGCCCCCGGGAGGAAGAGCAGAGGCTGCAGAGGCTGTCGGTGCTCGGTGGAGGAGCCTGAGCCCATCTGCCTGTTCCTCTGCATGGGGGTGGCCCCATGGCCTTTCTCCGGAGGCTTTTTGGTTTTCCGGAGAAGAAGAAGCTGCCGAGGAGGTATGAGCACCTCAAGAGGGATGTGGACCCCGAGGAGACCTGGCTGGTACTGGGTGAACTGGGTGACGGCGCCTTTGGCAAGGTCTTTAAGGTAGGGAGAACCCCAAAACGCCACCAAGTGCCCCGAGGGGTTTGCAAATTGGGCTTTTTGTGGTGCTGCCTCGTGTCGAAGCTTCCGGCGCGAGAGGCGACGAAAGTCCCGACTCAGCCCCAGGTTTCTGGCTGAGGGTGGCAAGGTCCAGCCTGGTGCTGGCTCAGCCCATCTCAGTGGTGGTTTTACTGCCTTGGCTGGAGTGAGGGGGTTGGGATGGGGATGTTTTTCTCTGAAACCACGGTGAGAGCAGAGCAGGGCAGGAAACCCAAACTTGCCGCTCACTAGACTCGCGGCAGAACTCGCCTTCCGGCGCCGCTGCCAGTGCTGGTCCTGCTCCTGGCTGGGCTTGTCCTCCAAAACCATCCCCTCTTCTTTTTTTTGGGGACAGGCAAACACCTCAGCATCACTCACTGGGTGGTGGAACCCCCCAAAGTTCCCTGGAGGGGTTTGCAGAGCTCTTGGTGCCGATGCTCATCAGAACATCCACGGGACGGTGTAGTTTGGGGTTTGGGAGACAGTGGGATTCTCCCTGCTGGAGCATGGATGATCCTGGGGTTTAAGCCCAGTGTGTCTGTCTGGATCCTGCCCCTTGTCTGACCCAAGCACAGCCATTCCCTGACTCATTCCCTGCTCCTGGTCCATTCTGTGAAACCTCTCCCATCCCCACCCAGGCACGGAACAAGGTGACAGGAGCTTTGGCAGCTGCCAAGGTGATCAACACCCCAAGCGAGGAGGAGCTGGAGGACTACATAGTGGAGATTGAGATCTTGGCTTGCTGTGACCTCCAAGTGAGGAGGAGCTGGAGGACTACATAGTAGAGATTGAGATCTTGGCTTGCTGTGACCACCCCAACATCACCAAGCTGCTGGATGCTCTCTACTGGGATGGGAAGCTCTGGGTGAGGGTGCTGATCCCCCCACCCCAGGCATGAATCGAGGTCCCACCAGCTCCTTGGGGCTGGGGGACTCGGTCTGGAGTGGACACATTTGCAGTCCAGGGTGGGAAACTTCTCCCTGCAGATCCTGGTGGAGTTTTGTCCTGGTGGGGCACTGGATGCAGCGATTTTAGGTAAATAAGTGGGGTGGTTTTTTTCCACCTGTTGGAGATTTTGGGGTGGGATTGCCTTATTTTTTTCCAGCTGTTGGAGATTTTGGGGTGGGATTGCCAAATTCCATGGTGTGGAAGGGAGTTCTGGGTTTGTGCAGCGTGTTCAGGAGGGAGGATGGGTTGGGGTGCACCTTCCTCTGGGTATGTGTGAGAGGTGCTGGGCTGGAGGCATCATTAGTGTCAGGGTTCACTTGGGCTAATGACAGAGCTGGAGAGAGGATTGACTGAGGAGCAGATCCGAGTGGCCTGTAAGCAGCTCCTGCTGGCCCTGCAGTACCTGCACAGCTCCAAGATCATCCACAGGGATGTGAAGGCTGGGAATGTCCTGCTCACCCTCGATGGGCACATCAAGCTGGGTGAGTCCTGGGGGTCCCACAGGGCAGAGGGAGGCTGGGAGTGAAGCCCCAGGGATGCTTTGTCCCATCCCTAACCATCATTATCTCCTCTGCAGCTGATTTTGGTGTCTCAGCCAAAAATTCCAGCACTGTCCAGCGCCGAGCGTCTTTCATCGGCACTCCGTACTGGTAGGTGTGGGGCAGAGATCCCAGGGGTGGTGGGATTCAAAGGGGCAGATGGGATGGTGTCCTGTTCTCCTGTGTATGCTCAGAGCCAGCTCCTTGGCACTAGGAGCATCCTGAGGAACAGGATCATCCCTCCTCCAGCCTCACTGGCTGCAGGGAGAACATCTCAGTAGCATGAGACTGTGCATGGAGAGGACACGTGGGCTGGTGGGTGTCAGCCCTCCTGGGGCAGCTTTGGGAGAATCAGGATGAACCTCACCTCTTCCCTCTGGAGGGGATGACCCCTGGGTTTGGTTTGGGGGGAGCAAAGAGCCTCCAGCCCAACACAGGTGGGACCTGTTCCCCTGTCCTTGGCACAGGATGGCCCCGGAGGTGGTGCAGTGTGAGACGTCCAAGGAGAGTCCCTATGGCTACAAGGCTGATATCTGGTCCCTGGGCATCACCCTGATCGAGATGGCTGAGATGGAGCCACCCTACCATGAGCTGAACCCCCTCCGGGTGCTGCTGAAGATCACCAAGTCCTCTCCACCCACCCTGCGTCACCCCAAGAGGTGGTGAGTCCCCACACAGACGTCACCTCGGCCTCAGAGAAGTTGTCCCATGGTGCAGCTCCTGCTTGACGTCGTGTCTGGGTGTCTGGGATGGGCTGTTGGACCCTGAGTGATGCTGGTGGTGACTCCTTCCCCAAGCTCAGCTCCAGAAACAGCACCATGGCTTTCCCATCACACCTTTGCCCACACTGCTGGGCAGCACTGGGGTGGGAACCTCCTGCTACCAGAGCCTGAGTGTCCCCAGCATCACCCCGATGTCAGTGGGAGCGACAGGAATCTTCTAGCTCCGTGCTCACAGCAACCATCCCACAGGTCTGAAGACTTCAAGGACTTCCTGAGGAAATCCTTGGAGAAGAGCCCGGAGGAGCGGTGGTCGGCCAGCCAGCTCCTGCAGGTGGGTGGCACCCAGCACCCCCTGTCTGGGGTGGTGGGGACCCTCCCTGGTGCTGGTCCCACTCACCTCCCTCTCTCCACTCAGCACCCCTTCGTGGTGGGAATCTCCGACACGCGGCCGCTCCGGGACCTGGTGGCCGAAGCCAGGGCTGATGTGCTGGAGGAAGAGAATGAAGAGGAAGGTCCAATCCCTTCGGTGCGTGAGTAGCACCTGGCTGGGGTGCAAGACCTCTCCAGCCCTTCTCATGAGCTCACTGAGCCTCAGCTCTTCCCTCCTTGTCCACCCCACAGCCTGGGCAGGAGCATGGAGAGTCCTCTTGCACCCCAACTCCGGCAGATCCTCTGGAACATCAGCCCTTGGATGCCATGGGAGGAGCTGACAAGGACATTCCACCCGACGTCTGCGTGGTGGCAGAGCCCAAGGCCAAGAAAGCATCTGACTTCTTGAAGCAGATGAGGAGGAGGTCCATGCCTGAGCCCGTGGGCTCCGTGAGGATCCCTGCGAAGAGACCATCTGAGCTCCTCAAGCTGAGGCATCGCAGGTCGTTTTTTGGAGGGATGAAATCCCAGGAAATGGCTAAGGAGCAGCATGGGGCAGAGCCCAGTGGGCTGGAGACTAGAACACTGGATCCTCCTCAAGGCACATCAGTCCCAGCAGGAGAAGAAGTTCAGAAGTGCCAGGAGGAGGAGACCAACCTTGTGGGAACCCCCAGCAATGTGGCTGAGCTCCCCTCAGGGCCCCAGTGGGCAGGAGACCTTGAGGAACTGCAGGAGCTGAAGGCAGAGCAGGTTGGGCCCAAGACAGAGCCCCAGGAGGAAATCCAGAGTGATGACACATCACAAGTGGCCGAAACACCCACCCATGGACAGCTTGCAGCCCAAACCAGGCCTGCTGTGACCCCCAAAGGTGGTACAGGGGAGTCTAGCAGAGACCCTACTTGGGATGGGGACAGGCACAGAGGCTCAGCCATGGGGCAGCTGGTGACATCCCTGGACCTGGGGACCACAGGGACCAAACCCCAGTTGCAGGCAGAGCATCAGCACCAGGTTACTCAGTCATTGCTGGAGTTGGACGTTGACATTGGCTCTGCTGGGGTTGAGGTTGGCCTTGGGAAGGATGGAGATGGAGCAGGGAGGGCACCCATGGGACTAAGGTGTGCTGGGGAGACTGAGCTGGTGGAGGAGAAGGTGCTACAGGGTGAGGAATCACTGATCTCTGTGATGGAGGAGGTTTTGGTGGGGTCAGATGTTCTCAAGGGGTTGCAGGAGCCCCTGGATGGTCTGGGAGAGCCTGGAGAGAGGAACGACGAGGAGAGGAACTCACTTGTGTCCGAGCCCATTGCTGATCCCCTGGACCTAGTGGAGAGGAGTGAGGAGGAAGCCACAAACAACGATGAGACTGGGGTCAAAACTTCACCCAGGGAAGTCCTGGTGCCAGCAGAAGAGAAATTGGGAGAGGATCTTGTAAAGGAGTGTTTGACTGGAGAACATAAACCAGCAGGAGATGCAGCCAGCCCTGGGGGTGGGATGCTGGCAGGAGAGGAACCGGAGGCAGCCTCTGCAGGAGAGGGACCTGCAAGTGAGGAGGACCAAAATTCAGCAGAGGATTCATCCCCCACGGAGGTGCCAGGAGCTGTTGAAGAAGAAACAGAAGGGAAAGTGGCAAACAGCCCCAGAGAGAACCAGCCAGGAGCTGCCCATGGGAATGGCTGGAAGGGACAAGCTGGGAATGATGGAGAGCTTGGAGAAGATGAGGTGCAGGTTGCTGCAGCTCCTGAAGAGCCACCAAGGGATGGACTTGGAGAGGGAACAGGTGACTTGGAGGGTCACAGAGCAGTGCCAGAGCCACATGAGGCCCATGGTGGACATCCAAGTGCCACAAAGACTGTGAGTTTTGGTGCTGCTCTTGGCCGCAGATCTTCCCAGGCACAGGCAGTGTGGGAAACTGGGAACACACCAGGTCCATCCATCACATCCAGGCAAGGAGAGGAGCCATTCCCTGTGGAAAACCCTGTGGAGGTGCAAGGTCCCGAGGCAGTGCAGCCTTTCCCCTCTGCCGGGGAGGTGAGAGGATTACAGGTAAGGGGAAGGTGAAGTTCCTTCCCTTGCATAGGGTCATGTGTTGGGTTCACCTAGTGTGGGGCTCTCTGAGCTCAAGTGTTTGCTCCCAGCCACAGGAATCTGCCTCACTCCAGAGGAGGGTCAGGAAAAACCCCCAGATTGGGGAGGATGGAGAGGAGGTGAAGGTGAGGACAGGCAAGGCCACGACGAGGACCGCGATGGTGCGCTCGGCCCGGTGAGTGCTGCTGGTGCTGGAGGGACCTCCAGGGAACCTTCCACCCATCTCTGGCCGAGGAGGAGCAGGGCCAAAGGGTGTGGGAGGGAGGGTGGGTCTGTGGGACTCTGTGCAATGCACAAGTGTTTGACCTCCTGGCTTGGAAAACCCATCTGACTCCCTGGGCAGGGTCTGCTCCAGCAGGAGACCATGAGTGAGAACTTTCCTGCCTCCTGGAAGTGTTCCAGGCCAGATTGCATGGAGCTCTGAGCAACCTGGTCTAGTGGAAGGTGTCCCTGCCCATGGGAATGAGAAAAGATTTTGTGTCCCTTCCAACCCAAACCATTCCATGATTCTGTGATCCCCATGTGTGGTAGGGACACATGAGGAGCCAAACATTGCCCAGTCCCATACCTGGTGTGTCCTGCAGGCAGCTGGAAAGCAGGAAAGGGGAAAGAAGAGGGTAATGTCTCCCCTAAGCTCTTGTGTCACCCAAGGAGAGTAGGAAAGGATGATGGGGGAGACGGAGGGGCAGCGACACCAGCTGAGCTTGGGCATGAGGCCACCATGGGTCAGACAGGTGTCTCACCTTTCTTCTTGCCACAGAAAATCTTCTCCATGATGTTTCACCAGGGCTGAGCTTCTCCTTTCCTTTAGCCACCTGCAAGTCAGCCATGCTGAGACCAAGGGAGGTCCCTCCAGGGCCACCTTTGTCCTCCCTCACCCTGATTCCTCACCCCTTTAGGCGCCAGGAGCTCCACGAGCTGCGGGTGCTGCAGAAGGAAGAGCAGCGAGCTCAGAGTCAGCTGCAGCACAAGTTCCACCAGCAACGGGAGCAGATGTTCCGGCACATCGAGCAGGAGATGACGGTAACCCAACCATCACCCCTTGGTGGCCAAGACAGGGACACGTGCAAAGGGGTGATGGGGCCCTGCTGTGGGACACACCAAGATCTGGGAGGGTTTGGTTGGTTTGGTGGCCACTTTTGGTCCTTGCAGCACTGTTAGTTGTATCTTCGTGGCAGAGCAAGAAGGAGTTTTACGCCCGGGAGGTGGAGAGCTCGGAGCGGCGCTATCGGCAGCTGAAGGAGAGGCAGGAGAACAAGTACACAGTGAGGCTACGCGAGGAGGCCAAACGCCTCAAGTCCCTCCAGGAGAAGGATGGGGAGAGGAGGATGCAAGAGCTGAAGGGTGATGGGAGAGAGGTGAGGGTCTGGCTGTCCCTTGGCTGTGCCACCAGGATCCTGGGGACTGTCTGCCCTGGGAGTTGGGGTTGAGCTCCTCCATGGTTTGGCACAGGAGCAGCGATTCCTGCAGCAGCAGCAGGAGGAACTCAACGCAGCACTGCAGAGGATCGTCCAGGAGCACAAGAAGAAGATGATGTCCATCGACTGGGAGTGCATCAGCAAGATCCACAGCCTCAGGAGAGGTGGATGGGGCTGGGAGGAGGAGGAGGAGAAGGCTGGAGGGTTCTCAGGGAGGGTTCTCAGGGTCTCTGGCTGGAGGATTTTGGGGGTGATGGTGGTGCTGTGCTCTTGCCTGGCAGCTCGGGAGTCTGTGGTGTGGAGCATGGAGCAAGGGCACCTGCAGGAGAAGTACCAACTCTTCAGGCAGCAGGTGAAGGAGCAGCACACGCTGCAGCGGCAGCAGCTCCGCAAGCGCCACGAGAAGGTGAGGTGAGAACCTCCTGGTGATGTTCCCCCCTGCCTGATCCCTCTCCTGGCTCACCCTCCTGCCCTTTTCCCAGGAGATGGAGAGGATGAATCGCTTCCACCAGCTCTTGCTGGAGGAGCTGAGGAACCAGCAGGAGCAGGCCAGGGCTCAGCTGCTGAAAACCCAACGCTGCGACGCCAAGACACGCCTGGCCCTCTTCAAGGACAACCTGAAGATCCAGCAGACAAACGGGGCCAAGCAGAGAGAGAGGGCCAAGGAGGTATGAGGACCAGGAAGGTCCACCCAAGATGGGGAAGCTGTAAGGGGTGTTTTCTGGGGAAGGGGAGGGTGACAAGGCTGTGCCCACGGCAGTTTGCGCAGCAGGAGGAGAGACGACAGCGCTGGGAGCTGCAGCAGCAGCACGAGCAGCAGGAGCAGGAGCTGCAGCACCTGCAGCAGCAACAGGCTGAGAACCTGGCAGAGCTGGAGCAGATGCAGGTACTGGGCAGCATGGCAAAACTGTCTATCCTGGGGGGTTCCCATGTCCCTGCTGCCACTCCTTTCCCTTCCCCTTTCCATCTCTGCTCGCCCAGAGGGAGAAGATGCACGTCCTGGAGGAGCAGGAGCAGAGGCAGCTGGAGCTGCAGCACCTGCAGCAGCAACAGGCTGAGAACCTGGCAGAGCTGGAGCAGATGCAGGTACTGGGCAGCATGGCAAAACTGTCTATCCTGGGGGGTTCCCATGTCCCTGCTGCCACTCCTTTCCCTTCCCCTTTCCATCTCTGCTCGCCCAGAGGGAGAAGATGCACGTCCTGGAGGAGCAGGAGCAGAGGCAGCTGGGGAGGTTGGGTTGGAAGAAGCAGAGGTTGGCAGCTCGGAAGGAGGTCAGTGCTCCTGCAGCCCCAACCATCCCCCAGCTCAGCCCAGGGGAGGCTGCTCTCCCTGCTGCAATCCCATGGGATATGGCATCATTGCTTCCCTCCTCCAGATGCTGGAGGAGGAACTGGGCAACTCCCTGCAGGAGTTGCACAGCCCTCGAGGCAACACCAGGATCACCCGACCCTTCCACCTCTCCTCCTGACACTACACCATGGATCCTTGGGAGCAAGAGCCAAGGCAGATGTCTGGGACCATCCCACAGAGGACTGAAGGATCTCAGAGGCAACTTGAGGGGATGCTGAGCCCCAGGGGGATGCTGAACCCAAGGGATGCTGAACCCAAGGGATGCTGAGCCCCAGGGGGTGCTGGGCCCCCAG